AGAAGCACTGATGAAGTTAGAGCAGTGGGAGGATTGTACATTTTTGGTGAATTAAAGAAAGAATAAAAGTTCTCCAACCACCTTACACAGTGGAATGCTGGTGTACTTTGCACAGGAATACTAGCACTGGTAATAGAAGTTTTCTGTTAAATTTGGTTTCCTTGAAGGGGTTAAAAGCATTAGGCTCATATCCAAGTCAGTCTAATATAACAGAATGTCTTAGCTATCTGGAATGTATTTCAAATGTCCTTGTACTCATTTTGTGTATCAACATCATCTGCAAAAAGCTGAAGTAGAAAAGATGTGGGTTACAGCTTCGGGACTGAGGTGATGATAATTCCACATGAAGGCTCTTAAGTTAAAGAAGGATTTATTTTGTGTGTTTAGGTTACTGAGGGTCAGATCCCTTAGAGTTCTTAGGAAAAGACTGCCACTATGAACTAATTTTAAATACAGTTGGAAAGTATGTTTAATACTCAGGAGTTTTATTCATGGTGTGTGTGTGTGTATATGTGTGTGTGTGTGTGTGTGTGTGAGAGAGAGAGAGGGAGGGAGGAAGGGAGGGAGGGAGGAGGAGGAGGAGATGGAGAAGCAGTAGGACCTATTTTTTGCATTCCTTTTACCTCTGGAGATAATGTACTTGTTCTAAATTCCTTTCTAAATGGCTGTCCCTTAGATCCAAAAACAATACTAACAATTTGAAAAGCTGCAAGAGTGAAATGGTTTGCATACTTAACTGATAACTGGCTTACCTCCTCCACAGAAAGAACATGTTGGTGCATCGCAAGCTAGCTAGCTGGGATGACATCTTAGAAATGATGGAATCGATTAGCAGTGGCAGATCTATGTGTAGCAGCATCGGAGAAAATGGAATAGATTATTATTTCAGCAGCTTATCTGAGAATATAACATTGTTGTGTATTTGAAGGCCAATATCACCAACACCCCAATTTGTATAACCTATCTAGAAATCAGAGAATGTTTTTTTTTTAAATTATGAAATGTGTACAATTAATAATTACAGACATAACAAGGATATGGAAAGACAGTGTCCTAGGAAATTGAAGCAAAAGATATCAAAAGTTAATTAAATTCTTAAAGATTTCATTCTTATTTTTGGCACATTCTTTTTATGTCTTCTCTTTCTTTTCCTCTAAGTGCTGGTGTTGACATCTTTTTTACCTTCTTTGTCTTTTTATCACACATATACCTCCGTCTGGGTTCTTTGACCTTAAATAAATCTCTGAATCTGCTTAATCTCTTTACAGAGTTACCTTGTGTGTTTCAGGAAGAGCATAGGTCGCACAAAAATGTCTTGGAAACCAAATAGAATGCTGCAAATGTAATTGTACTGAGGAGTGTTTTGGGTATTTACTTGGCATGTATGTCCGTCCTCTTTCTTGAGCAGCTTAGTGTTACCATTCCATTTTACAATGAAGGAAGCTGAGGCGTGGCAGTATCATTAACCCGCTCAGAATCACATGATTAATTTGTGGGTGGTCTTTTTGATTCCTGTTGCGGAACTGTTAGCCAGTATCCTGAAATGTCTAAATGTTCTGAATAACGTCCATGTTCTTTTTCTAGTGTTTGTGAACTGCCTAAGTCTCATGTATCCTTTGGACACGTAGAAAATATGTAGAATAGATGAAAATTTCATGCGTTTGTATGTTTATCCAGCAGACACTTATGGAACACCTACTGTGTAGCAGAAATGTATTTTGCCCTGGATATGTACAGATAAGACTTTTTTTTAAAAAAAAAAATGAACATTGAGATATGTCAGTAAGTTATTCTCTGGGCCATGTGTCTCTGATCTCAGGGCATGGACAGTGAACTGTTATAGGAAGATTTAACCTAATTTTAGAATGACCTTGGAAGTGTCTATGGTAGTATTTTCTAGAAGTGGAATTAGAAAATTGAGTACCTAAGTCTTGTTCTTTTTGCTTTTGGGGCTAGAGAGAAAACACATGCACAGCCCTTTCTATTCTGGCCTCTCCTAGTTATCAGTACGTTTCCTAAAATAAATCCATCTTTTTTGGGGGGCTTGGCTTTTTAACATCTTTATCCTCTTTCTCTATAATGTGTAAGTTTAAAGTCTTGCCTGATTTTAGTCAGCCAAGTTTATGTGCATCATTGCATTGATTTTTTTTTTTTTTTTGCTGGTACCTCTATCTATTCCTTTGAACAGCTCATGTTCTTAAAAGAAATTAAAATGGTAATCTAACATCTCCTATAAGTCTAAACCTTGCTACAGAATTTGATCCATTTACTACTTTCTTTCCTTATTCTATATAATTTTTCTTTTTTTTTAAACAACTGGGTCTTGCTGTGTAGTTCAGGCTGTCTTTGAATTTGTGAATTTGTGATCATCCTGTGTCAGCTTCCAAAATACTTAGATTAAAGCCATGTACCCGATTTTATTCTGTTTCCTTTTTAGGGCATTATTGGGTGCCTGCGTGTTTCGTTTCTCTGCCAGGCCTTCTTGCCTTCCTCGCATTCTGCCATACCCCTTTCCTAGAAGTAAGAGAGGCTACTTTGTAAAAACAGTTCAGGTATGAGGCAGTATGCATTGAGGGGAATTGACATTTTTACAGTGTTCAGCCTTCCCATCTGCACCTTGATATGTCTGCTTATTTAATCACTCATTAAAAGTATGTTTAGGACACTTCAGGTATAAGAATAGAAGGCACAGAGTGGGCCCTTCGTAAACTAACCATCACTCAGATGCAGCAATTAGCAGTATATTGCCAAACTGCTTTCATCTGTACACCTGCCCTCTACCCTTTTGTGTTGTAATTTGCATAACAGTCACTCATTGTGTGGGAACAGCTTAATGACTGCCAAGTCTTTTTTGTCTGTGTCACTTATTTCAATATTTTGACTTGTGTTAAAGATTTTTAAAAGTTTAAGGTTTAAAAATATGTCTAATTTTGGTGGCATCTTTAAACACTATTCAAAGTATGCGTGATGCCTAATTTCCCTGGAGTATCCTGTTTTATTTTGTGGGCCTGGGTTAATTGATTTTATTTATTCTTCTATCTTCTGGGTATTATTAAGCAAAACCAAATGTTTCTACATTGGTATCAATATTTTTTTATGACAGTACTGTGTAAATGTTAACTTTGCTTTTAATTGTGCCATATTCGTGACACATTTTGAAATGAATTTGCAGCATATGTTATTGTTTGTTCACAATATTTTACATTAAGCACAGCCCTGCCAGCTCTCTTAGGTCTCTGTACGGCTTATCTGGTCTACTTCCTTCTAATTTCAAATGGTTTCTTCTTTTCTGTAGTACTTTCCTTGGTCTGCTATAACAGTTACCTTGTGGTAGCTTTAAATAACAGAAATTTTAGCTCACAAAAAAAAAAAAAAAAAAAAAAAAAAAAATTACACTTCTGGGAGCTCCGAAGTTCAAGGTCGGCATGTGACAGGGCTGGTGCCTTCTGGATGCTGCATGGCAGGGTCCGTTCTGTCTCTCCTAACTCTTTTTGACTGCTGGCATCTCCTGGTGTCCCTGGCCTGCAGCAGTATGGCTATTGTGGGCTGCATCTTCACATGTCTTTACATGTTGGTGCCAGAGTTCTCTCTTTAGAAGAACTATTTTTGGATTTAGGGCCCCTCTTAAATCAGGATGATCCCTGCCAAGATCCTTGGTTTAATTATCTGTGCAAAGACCCCGTCCCCCACATAAAGTCATATTCATAAGTATTGTGGCTAGGACTTGGGAGTCATTGTAGCGAATATCAATCCACTATACTTCCGAAGCAGCAGACTTTTCTGTATTTCCGTTTTGACATCTGCAGATGTAACCCTGAGAAAAGATCAAAGCTTTATGATCTGACTGAGTCTTACTGAAGTTTTCCAGGACATGGATGGCAAGGTAGAGCCATTCACATATCACCATACTGCCAGGATGACCACCTGTCCTTGTGGTTTTTATTCCTTTGATTGTATATTTCTTTTCACCTGTTCACTATCCACAGAGCTGCCACTTTAGAATTTTTTTTTAAATGTAAGTCTGACCATAATTCTCTTGTCACTTCAGAGCTTATCATGGATCCTCAAGTAAGATCCCTCTACAACTTTTGAAAGATGGTGGGTGATGTCTTCACTCTCCCCTCATCCTCTGCGCCTTCACGCCCACTGTTTGCTCTACTTAGGTTGAGCACACCCTGGCCCTGTCCTGGCTTTGCTCCAGCTTTAGACCTCAGAGTAGCTGCTTCTCTAGGGCACTTCTCTCAACTCCTTGATTCTATATAGTGTTATTCCACTCTGTGTCATGGTATTTTCCACTTGAATTGTTTTTTTTTCCTCTGCTTGTCTCAGCTCCTCCCTGACACCAAGCTGGTCCCATTCACTGTTGTCTCACTGTTGTCACTTCAGTTTCATGTAGTACTTAATGTTTATTGAATGAAAAATAAATATAAAGAGCAGGGTTCTGTGTTGAAATCTTAAGTATTTTTACCTCTTTTGTTTAAGAGAGTACTGGGTAGAGCTAGTTTAGCCTGTACTGTCTGCCTTGGAATGACTCAGAACTGCACAGGATACTCAGGAATTTGAACATGTTTCAGGAGCCATTAGACGTAGATTTTTTTTGGTATCTACTCTCAGACTAGCACTGATAGATCTGAAACTGGTTTGGCTATTACAAGGGCATCCTGTAGTGGGGCACTCAAAACATTACTTAATGTCAGAAATCAAAGCTGTTTAGAAAGTGACAGAATTGGTCCAATTGTGAGCATAACACCAAAAAACATGTTACAACTGACAATAATTACTGAACTGTTGTACTTCAGCTGGTATTTCCCCTCTATGGAGTATGTAGTCATACATACATTAAATCCTAGGGGAGAATTGTACTTCTTTGTTTCTGTCAAATGACTTTGGAAAAACTTGCTTTCGTAATTGCCTTTAGTGAAAATTTGCTTTTTAACGTACATATTGTTTCTCCACTTTGTTTTCTGGTTTTTGGCTGATGAGTTATTTTTCTCTTGTAGTTATGCCCCGTGGTGTCCATCGTGCCAGCAGACTGATTCGGAATGGGAAACCTTTGCAAAGAATGGTGAAACTCTGCAGATCAGTGTGGGAAAGGTGGATGTCATTCAGGAACCAGGTAGCGTAAGTGGTAAATGTTTAATGAACAAGTTTTAACAACATTTTAGTTTGAATTTTTAATTTTTAAATTCTTTTTCAAACAAACAGAAAAGTTGAAAGACTTAAGATGCTAATTACCTGTGAACTAGCCACCTGGAATCAACAGATTATATTTTAGCTTCTCTGGGTTTGCCTATGTATGTGTGTAGTCACACATATTTATTTGAAAATGTATTTGTTTTTATTTCTTTTTCCTGAGATATTGGCAATTGGTTACAAACATCATGATAGTTCACCTTCAGTGCTTCAGCATGGTAAAATCTTCCTCATGATTTCTTGTGGGTCATTTCATAGTTTTTTGTACCAAGATCCAATCGTTTTACAAGTTGCATCTGACTGTTAGTTGTTCTTGCTACATCTTAATCTAGAATTATCTCCATTTTTCATAACATTGATACCTGGAAGAGAATAGGCGAAGATATTTCTAGGTTTTCCATAGTTTCCTGATCCATACTTGCTTGAGATAGCACCATGTTTGTAGCCCCTCACTGAATTCATGGAGGACATTGCCGTGACTCTAGGCCTTTGGCTATACTTGTGTGGACATTGCTGCAGGATGCAGACCCTTATTGTCATGTGTTCTTCACCTTCTGTAAACTGGAAGTTTGATTTGGAGACATGATTTGATTTAGGTTCAGAGTTTATGGCAAGGGTACTTCATAGATGGTGCTGGGACTTTTTGTTGCATTGAGCACATACTGACACCATTAGTGAAATTAAATAGGAACAGTTGGTTAAAGTGGTAACATTTTCTGAAATAAGAAAGTCCCCCTTTATCATTATTATTAATCTTTGAGATGATACTTGCATGATGATCTTGCTTGTATAATATCTCATTGTGCATTCCAAAATGGTGAATTTCTAATTCTGTAATTTACAGTAAAAGAAGTTAAATTTTGAAAATATACAGTAAATTTATATTTATAATTTATGTATTTTTTGTTACTTTATATTTATAATTTATAAACAGCTGTATTTCATAGGAGTTGGGGAGAAAAATTGGACTTGTATTACCTAAATCTCTAGAAAAGGGCTTTTTTCAAATGTTTTTATGTTCTTCTATTATAAATTACTTTCTAGCTTCCACATATCTGTATGAGGGAAAAGGCAGTAGGCCTGGAAGAGCACCTCTTCTTTCTGTAATGCTTGTCAGTTCACAAAACATGAAGCAGTCACGTTCCAATTAGTTGGACAGTGAAGTACATGGGGTACATTAAGATCCACAGAAGGCCAAGCCCAGGGAGAGAGTTCCATTAAAAGCTGAAATCTTTGAGCCTTAACATTTTAAGCATCTAAAACAAGTTCATCTTTGCCTACCTTCTACTTAGAGCAGACAGTTACAGTTAGTTCATGGTTTGGGCTCTTACAATGGGTTTTTTTATTTAGAGAACAAATCATCGTAATTACATTTTTTGTTGAAGACTTATTTTTATTTTTATTAGTCTGAGTCCAAGGAAAATCAGGTGTAAGAATTGTTAATTAGTGGGTACGTTTCATGATGTCTTTCTTAAAAATGTAGCTTCTTCACACTTCAGTCATTTGTTATCCTGCTGTGTATTGATGGCATTATTTAAATTAGAAGAGGTGAAACAGACTTGTGATAGTTTCATAATCCTAATGCTTAACTGAATATATAGTCTTTCTTTCTAAGAATGTAGACTTACAGCTACTTTTCCATTATGACTGGATCAAGACTAAAGGCAGAGAGTAATTGGTTAATGTTTTAGTCAGGCTTTGCAAGGGAATAGATTTTTATCAAAGGACACATACATTTGTAGCATTTTATAATATTCTCCCAAGAAGTTAAATGCAGGCTAGTGCCGGATATCTGTCCATGTACTAGAGACCTAAAGAATCTAGCTAAGGGCCTGGATCCCGTGGCTTCATCCATATAAGTACAGCTGAAAGCCTGGTGCCCATGGCAGTGTCCCCTAGGAGTCCAGCTGGAGGCCTAGGGCTATGGCACTGTCTCACACAAGTTCTTATCTGGAAGCTGAGGAATCCATGACAAAAGATAAAGGCAAAAGCCCAGGGGTTGGTGTTGGGGGTGGGGAGTCTGTGCCAACAGCCTGAAGGGTCTGTGTGGGATACTCAGGGACCTTTGCTGGAGCCAGGAAGCTGCGTCCAAGAGTAAGGCAGAGACTAGAGCTCCCTGAAGAGAGCAGCCATCCCTGAGACAGAATTTTTGTCAGGAAAGCCAGTGCAACAAAGTTTGTTCTGGAAATCAGCGGCATGAGATCTGCCCGCCCCCCCCCCCCCCCCCCCCCCCCTCTCTCTCTCTCTCTCTCTCTCTCTCTCTCTCTCCCCCCCCCCCCGTTCTTGTTCTGTGCTATTCCAGCAGCATCCTCAGGTGGGTCTTCATGCCCAGAACCACACTGACTCGGTTCAGCAGGTACCCCACTCAAGTTGGCCTTTAATTAATCCACCACAGTTAATGAATATCTTAAAGCATGTACTGTTGACCCATAGTTTTATGGAAATATAACCTAAATGTACTTCAAATACTCAAAAATGCTAATAAAAGAACCCTTATTTCTCGTAGTCTAATATTTTTTTTTTTCCTGTATTTTAGGGCAGGGACTACAGGGTGTTCAGGGTCTCACACTAGAAGGAACTCATAGTGATTGTCCTATCTACAGCCTCCCAAGTGCTGGAATTACAGGCTCGGCTACCACAAAATTGCCATCTCAATGTGCCTCGGGGGCGGGGCCCAGAGGCAGGCCCAGGGATCAAACCCTTGCCCCTGTGCCTGGTGCAGGCACTTTAATCTGCTGAGCTATTTGGCTGTCCCTCTCTCATAGTCTATTGAAATAGTGAAGAAGAAAGGTCTAATAAAATCATTAAATTATTGGGGAAAATTTGAAGGCCGAGGCTCTAAAATTCTTTTTAAATGATTAAACCTTTAAAACTGCAACGCACAAAGAAATATTAGGAGGCACAATTCTACATGCATGATTAGTTGAATGGCCTAGGGAGTGTTGTCATGGGTCCCATACCTATGTTTTGGCTAAGACGGTTTATTATGGTGGTCCCTTGAGATGTACCCCCCACTGCTGCAGACATCTTAGTTTGCGCAGTGCTCACACAGCGTGCCAGGCAAGGTGTTTGCAGAAACCAGCCCTCTTTAAAGAGTACATGGCTATGTGTCTGCACTGCATTATTTTTTGTTTAATGAAAATAAAACAAAATTTCATAACAAAATACTAAGAGAATGACAATACTAAATCTAATGGTTTCACTGAACTTTTGACAGGGCTTACATAATGTCTTTATTCAACCCATATCTGAGTTCCTACCATGTGCCCAGCCTGTTCTAGATACCAACAATACATAAGTGACTAGTCAGTGCCTGACTCTGACTCCTTGTTTACATTCCAGTGAAAAAGATGAATAGTATCACAAATAAAGTGGAAAATAATGCCAGATGGTGGTTGGAACCACCATTTTCATTTTGGTAAATAAAAATGTAGAAAATAATAGGAGACTTTTTTTTTTAGAGAAGATGCCTGGGGAAGGACTTAGAGATCCTGTTAAATTGAGACAGTGAAGTTCAACAAGTTTTGGGAGAGGGAACATTTCAGAAGCGGAAAAACCGTGTGTAGATGCATGTGTATTTGGCTGAGCTGAGAAGAAAACAGTGATAGCCAGCATGGGGCCCGGGATGCTGGGGAGCAGGGGGTGGCTGGGGCCTTAGTGGTCATGGCAAGGAGTTTAGATTCTATGAGAAGTGTGATAGGAAGGAAGCTGCTGCAAAGGCTGAACAGTAGAGTGACATTATTTGTTTTTTTGAAAGATTTCCTTGAGTGGTGTGCAACACATTTACAGGAGGGGGTCAGAAAGGGAACCTGGGAGAATGGTTGGGGGGTCAGTGTTGTAAGCAGGAGTCAGAGATGGTGCCTTGGGTTAAGCAGTGGATTTGGGAAGATTCCTGCTTGATCCATTGGTTGTAGGTTATAAGAAGAAATGGAGAAGATTGAAGAGGGACACCTTTAGACGACAGTTAAATTCAGAATGGTAAATAGACATCCAGGTAGAGGTGAACTGGGGAAGAGTTGAGGTTACCTAGGACAGTGGTATGAACCTATGCCCTCTAGCCAACTTACCCCAGCCAAGGTTTGACAAATTATCTGCATACATACAACAACAAAGATCACAGTAATTGTGCAAAAGCACATCAAATGACAACTTTTACATTTCAATACAGAGCTGTTTGTATCATGGAAAGCTCTGTTATTGTGTTTTTCTTTTAAGACAAAAGATGTTAATGAACACGTTTTTTTCCAGAACTAAAACCTCAGTATTCTGGTTTAATTGCTGCATTGGCACTTTGCCATAAATAAGTGGGCTTGGGTGTCTTAAAGGTTTGCCACCATGGACTTGAGAGGTGGGTGCTAGAGAAGTGAGCAAGGGACAGTTCAGCACGGAAGCTAAATGTGCTGCAGCAGTGAAGTCACCAGTGAGGAAGGAGGGAGGAAACAGGAGGGACTCTGGAAGCTGAGTCAGAGCTCCAGTGGCGCAATCAGTTAGCGCACAGCACTTATACTGGAGGCCAGTAAAGAGTGGCCTCTCTGGGCCTTGTCTCTATTAGAAATAATTGAAATATTAAGTGTTACAAAATCTAACGTTCTCAGTGAGCAGTGGAAACCATCCATGCCATTGTTTCCCTCAGAGTTGAGCACTTCACTGGATATTTCTCTCTCTCTCTCTCTCTCTCTCTCTCTCTCTCTCTCTCTATATATATATATATATATATATATATATGTTTCTGTTTGCTTATAGAGCTCTACTGATACATGCTTTGATCCAGGCTGCCGTGCCTCAGAGTGCTAGACAGGAAAATTTCCAGGTTTTTTTTTCTCTTTAAGACAGTTTAAAATGAGGGGAAAGCAAGCATTTATGAATTATTCACACATAGTTTTTAGTTATGACTATAGCACTCCCATCAGCATATCTAAGTAG